AGCTATAAACTCTGCATCTGGCTGTTTAGATAGACTCCTAATTGTTTTTATTGGGGAATTAACTACACTCAGCTGTTTGTGCTATATTTTTTTCCTGATGGATTCTAAAAGACTTGCAGTAGAGTAATATGGGAGTGCTGTGTGGTTCAGTGGGCTAAGCCTCTCTGCTTGTGAAGGTTTTGGTATAACAGCTACAACCTTGCAGGCCTTTGAGCAAGACCCTCATCCCCCAGCTCCATGGATGCTGTTTGGGGCTGCCCTTCACTGTGATTCCCCAAGCTTGTTCCTGGCTCTGTGTCTCATGGAAAGCAAGATGAGGAAGGTCAAAAGAGGCAACATTTCCCCAGTAGGGATTTTAAAATGAAGTATCATTCTGTTCTAATTCTGCATTGGTTTGTGTCGCACACCTTCAGTGTGTCAACACAAGGTCAACAAAGCCACCCCATTCATAACACTGCAGCCATTAATAATACTGACATTCCCTTTTTTGGTTGAGGGGGTTAATTTGGAAAATGTAGCTATGGCAACTCTGTGCCACAATGGAAGATTGTCAAAAATGTTTTTTTTCTTAGAAATGATAATTTTTCTTTTAATTAAATGTATATATTTTTATGAAATTGATATATATATATATATATATATATATATATATATATATATACACACACAAATACTGGAACTGAGGTGAAATATGTTGCCATGGCAACATGGAACCATAGAGGAGTAAAACCTATATTGCAGGGGTGTCAAACTGCCGTCCTGCTGTATTCCACTGAAGCACTGTTATTTTGTCGCTTGTGCAATGTGGGCTTCACCAATATAACACAAGTTAGTTATGAGTCGTCTTCAAACTCGGCCAACAGGGAAACGGAAACCTCTAACCACAGACATTTATGAGGAAGGACAATCCATAGTGCAGCAAAAATGAAATACATGAACGAGGACATAAACACGGGGAAAACAGAATCTAAGGGCACAGAAACAAAAATGTATACGCATGTGAGATTAGCCTTTATGCTGCCTTGAATTCACAATGGAGAAGTTGTTAGTAGAAATCCACCAGCTCAGCCCATTCAGCCACACAGCAGTCCTAGGAGCTACGAAACACACTAGGGTACTAAGGCAAGGGAAACTAGGGGAACAGAACAGGATGGCCAACGACACCAGCTGGCCAAACAGGGAATTAACAGACAAGATCCTGGTGTGTTTGTATTTCTGATTACAGATGATCTGGTTTTGATCATGAGCAGTGGATCCCTAGGCCAGCTTCATCGCCCGATTTCATGTTGTCTCTGCAGTGCACACTGGGGGGGTCGCTGGCTCTGAATGTTGCAGTCTGCATCGGCGATTTGCTAAGTCAGTGACCCCTCAGAAGATGAAACCCTAGGCGGCCTCCAGTGTCGCCTAGTGGGTTGACTGGCACTGATCATGAATAATTTGGTCAAGTGGTAAATCAGTTACTCTCTTCCAGAAATATAAATGTCTTGATTTTGCATGTATAGAAGGTAGACTAAAGGTAGACTAGAAGGTAGACATTTACTTATCATGCACAGTTGTTTATTATAGCAGTAATAAAGACGCCAAAGCTGTTACGAAGAAAAGCTGATTGTTATAAATTCACGCCATTGAACAGTATCAACCAGAAAATTTGTATTTCAGCATAAACTGTAAGTGTGATGCTGGACACATTGCTGGGTGTTTTTCCCAATTCTTAGAGATTCCAGGAATTGTTATTCTAGAAGCTTACGTTTTCCCATCTGGCAGGAAGTTCTGCAGTAGAAATTTTGCACTGTCCCTCCCCTAGTGCACAAAAGACTTTTTCAATTTCTTGGGTCCGTCTACCACTGGCTATGGTCCATGCTGACCATTATGCTGTAACATGGGCCTGTCTGTAAATGGTCTAGACCTTGTAGGAATCACTGAAAAGTCGACTTTCATTATTATGAGAATATTTACATGATCAAAATAAAGATTTAGTCTCTAGAACTCTTGATATTTGAATCAGAATGAATATAGGCATGTTTATGTCTGCTCTAGTATGTGCTGACTTCTTTATTGCGCTGTTCCACTTTCTCCGGATTTCTGGCTGCCTAATACACTTTCAAAATGTTGGTATATCAGGTTTGTTTCCTGAAATGGTTTGTTGGTGGTGAAAGTGATGAATTTGATGCTGGAGCAGGGTGGTAGTGTAAAAGTGAAGATTTAAAGGTGAAAGCGTGCGATCATATAATCTCTGTGAGCAGTGGGTCATCTAGGATCTGATGCAGGACCCAAGGCCTCTTCTCACCTTGAACAGGTCAAGTTTGCTGATGGGCCAATAAAGTTCATGTGAAGGATGTAATTATGAAGATAGATGGGGCTTTAGGCCATGTGGGGGTTGGTTATCAGCATCCCTTGGAAAAACTATGATACATGACCTGATAAACCTAAATACACACATATACATACACACAAAAATTAAGAGGCCACAGGAAAATTTTTAGTTTCACTAATTTTTCAAATTTATGGGTAATTGTTTAAATTTGGCATTTTTAGCCTGGTTCTTCTCTGTCTCTCATTAATGAAGGGCTTCTTCTTTGCTTTATGGGACTTCAGTCCTGCTTCTAGAAACCTGATACGAGCTTGTTCTAACAGTGCACTTCACACCTGCACTTAATGTTTCCCATTCTTTTTCAAGGTCACCTGAGGTCATCCTCCGCTTTATGGGGCTCTGTTGGATAAGTTGATCGTCATCTCTGGCATTAGAAAGTCATTTCTGCCCTCTACCTGGCAGGTTTTTGGCTGTTTCCCAGTGTTTCCCACTTCACATTATTCTTATGTACTGCTGTCTTAGATATGTTGAGCCTGGAAACGGTGTAACCCTCTGTCAGCAGAACCAAAATTTAACAATGCAGATTCTTAAAAAATATGGAGTCATCTCCAGAGCTGTATATCTGAGAATTTGCCCACATGGTATAAATATAATGTTGTTATACATACATATGCACATACATGCATGCCCATGTGGGTTTGTGTCTATGTACACATATATGATAAAAAACATATATGGCCAGAAGTATGCGGAAACCTGCCTATTCAGAGGAAATTCCTATTTAATCCACACCCACTGTTGACACAGATGTATAATTAAGCACCCAGTTCTGCAATCTCCTGCAACAAACATTATCAACAGAGTGGGTGGTTGTTGTACAGGAGACGTTAATGACTTTCCACTTGGCACCATCATAAGATGCCGTCTTTCCTACAGATCAGTTTGCCACATTTCTGTCTGGGTGAAACACAAATGAAGTGACTGTGAAGGAGAAAATGTCTGGGAACAAGTTCAGTTGTGAAGTGGTCGGCTATACAAGCTCACAGAAGAGGATCTTATCGCCCAACATCAGTGTTGGACAAGCTGGTGTCCACATTCCTTTAGCCATATAATGTGTGTGTGTGCGTATGTATGTGTGTATTATATATTTATATATAATATAATAAAATAAAATAAATGGCACTAGTTAGGGGAGTTGCTGTACTACATATCAGTTGCAGCCATCTCATCAGTCACGAGCAGTGGCTTGATCTTTAAGACATTCTTAGTCGATTGCCATGTCTTCAGGCTTTTCCCCATTTGGCAAAATCTTTGTAAAAGTAGCTCTCACTGGGAACAATATCGTAAATTTATTGGTTTTATATAACAAAATCATTTTATTTGCTTACAAAATAATTATGACATTAGAAACAACCATGCAGTAGTTTTAAGTAAAACATTCATTTCAAGTTGCAATAAATTGAAACCAAAATTATTCGTAAAACACTGTTCTGAGTTAAGTTCACTGACAAGCAGTCTTTGGTGCTTTTTAATTAGTAACACCTTTGCAATAACAACATAAAACACCAAACATTTGTGTTTAGTATCTCTTTGGCAGCTAGTGACTACAACTGTAATTAATAGCAAAATTATGACACTGAATAAAATGTCTGTGCGGAAGGTGTGTGCAGGTATGTTAAACATTGCTTGTCAATGGACTTTTGTCATGAAACCAATAAATTGGCCAACATTTATCCAGAATTAAGCAGGCGTCCCAAGACTTTCTGTCAGCACTGTCTGTGCAGCAAATTGATACTAGAAAAGGTCTTTTGATTGGTCATTGGGAAGACGCTGGTATGAAAATGTGATGGACGTAGTATGTCCTGGATTGCTTCATCCTTTTGTCTGCCCTCTAACAGTCTTGGGTTTTCTCTGCTACACTTTATTATTTCTGTGTCCATGTGCCTCTCTTCTTCTTTAATACCTTCTATTTTTCTCACGGGGGGGCAGTAGTTCGTAGGTTAAACATAACTGCTTTAAATCCATGTTAATAAATTGTCTGCCATTTATGTAACTCCTTGTCGCTGCTGCACTCTCAGCGGATCTTAACTTAGCAGATGTAGGTCTGGTTAACTCATCACCTGGCAGCCCTGCCTCTGTTCTTTTTCTCCCAGAGAAATTCCACTCTGTGGAAAATCAAACACCTTAGAGCGGAACTGCATGGGGCAGATGGTGTGATTTTTATGAACAATGTCTAAGACATTCCATATTCGACATTAGCATCCCGAATGGGATGATGGGATAGGCACTCATACTGTAAAAGTTTGCAAACGGTCCCAAAAATCACAATGAAAATGTGTCCGTCTGTGACTGACAGGGAGTGTCGCCACTTTAACTTTTGGATATTCCAGGTCATCACAAATTCCAGAACCCCTGAGTTCAGATCATCTACAGTTTTAGTAACGGCTCCTCATAAGCATCCTTAGAAGAGTAATAAATACTGACATGGGAGAGGTTAATGAAGATTCCTTACACAAGTAAATTATTAAAGTTATTCCCATCCAATTATCCACGGCAATAACCATAGTCAGACACCCCAGAGTGGCTGCCAGGTCATTCAATTGTCTTGTACAAAAATAAAAACTCATTTTACTTTCATTTTAATATACATAATATTTATTAAATACAAAGACACAAAAATATGTACATCTCAATATAAAAAGTAACAAAATGTAAATAAATATCCACATTACAAATATTATAAATAAATAACATGAAAAAGGCATAAAATAAATAAACAACAAAAATTCAAGTAGGTCAGAATGTCAAATTCTTGTCAATTCAGTAAAAAAGAAGCAAAGACAAGTTAAATATATAAGTAGGCAAGATGGCTCAGTGGTGACTGCTGTACGCACCCCAGATGGGGTAAAATCCTCCCTGGAGCTCTTTGTGTCAATGTTCTTCCTGCTTTTTTATTCCTACTAACATGTTCAGGCAAGTCTGCATCTCTAGACTGCATTTTGTGTTTGTGTGACACTGTGCCCTGCCAAGCGTACCAGTGTTTACCTTGACCTGTACCCTTCTTCCTAGAGTGATCATTACAGCTCCGAAGTCCTGTCCTTAAGTAAGACCGTGGGGTTCAATTGCCCTATTCCTGAGAGTCCCATACTGGAGTTTTCGGATGACGCTCCAACATCTGGCATGTTGGGAACACGGAAAGACGTCACTGGACAAGGTCCCTTCACGTTTTGGCACACCAGTTTCTCCAGTGAGGCGCTGTTGACGATCTCAAAGCCCACACTTCCCCCGAACGTGCTGGGCATCCAGTACTCAGGAGAGCAGATGGGGTTTCCCATAAGGCCTTTCAGGGAATAGGGAGCCCCCATCTCCACCAGGGTCTCCCCAAAGATACCACTGGGCCGGGGCCTGGGCTTCTCTACCAGAAGCCCAGGGTAGAGCTCCATCCTATCAATATGGCCGTACATCTTCTGCAGTTCAGCTGCCATCTCCTTCTCTCCTGCAACGTGATTGCACAAGAGTGAGTACGTTGAGTTACAAATCCAACTACAGCTACTTTTTTAGTTAATTTAAGTATGCTATTTCTGTCTCAACACCACTACAATCAAAGAGGTCTATGTGAAACATTGGCCACACCTGTCAGTTCCTCAAAGGAGGTATAGGGTGTCATGGAGAAGCGTTCTCTGTAAGAGTTCAGAGACTGGTAGCGCATGTTCCGGCTGTGCTCGATAGACTTCATAGCCACATGCATCAGGTTGTGAGGAACATTACGACCTCCAGCCACCTGCAGGACATATGAGAAATTGCGATTAGCAACCGGTACTGGCGGACATCTCTCTATCTATGTCACAAGCAGGCTCACTGACAGGATACTGACCCTTCCTGACACTTGCTTGGTAAATGACTCCACGAGGCTGTTGACTCCGTGTTCCATCAGCAGGGAATTGTTGAAAGTAAACTGCTTGTAGCTGTAGACCTGGTCTTGTATGTGGAATGCGTCTGGCATCAGCGGGTGCCAGTGGTACAGAGTGTTGAACTCAGATGCGATACGGTTCTGGTACTGGAAGCGCTCCTTGAACAGTAGCTCTGGGTCGAACTTCAGCTTGAAGTGGTAACCACTTAAATGCTGCACATAATCCTCAATTACAATCTTTATGGTCTCGCCTGCAGGAAGGAGGTCATTGCAGATTCAGGAATTGCTCAGGACCTTTAAGAACACACCCCAAATCCAAAATTTTGTACCTCTTCTCGAATTCTAACTTAAAGCATACAATATTCACTGAACAGTTATCAGAGGTGGACATTTCAGGTCCAGAAAGTAAAAATCCAGACCAAGGTTTTGTTTCAACTAACCAGTTGAGTATAAAGAGTCACAGTCACGGAGTACTCAGCAGGTTGGTTGAAACAAAATCATAGTCTGGATTTTTACTTTCTGGACCTGAAATGTCCACCACTAACAGTTATGCAAATTCATCATAAAATGAACAGGATGACCTGTGATGCCATAGTTACTGCTGTAACTGTGGCCACCCACCAATGAGGATGAGCCGTGTGGTCTGGAATATGCGTTCGTCGTCCCACTCGGGGTGCTCCTGCCGCATGATGTCACAGACGCGGTTGTGCTCTCGCAGCCAGAGGGTCGCGTACATCATGAGACCCGGCACCAGGCCGAAAGCTTCGTGGCCCACTGCTAGCCGGTGCTCTTCCGGCACGTAAGGAGGGTAAATCATGTCCACCGGGGCCTCCCGCACGGTGGGCGGATAAACCTCACCATTGAATACCTGCAAACACCAGCAAAATCCATGACTCCACATGCAATTTCCTCTATATGTGTATATTCATTTTATCAGACGCCGATGTTTAATTGCGATTAATGAATGCAAGTATTTGATTTCAATAAATATGCGCCTGTGTAATGCTGAATAGTTTAATACCTGGAATTTCAGTTTGCCATCTTTGAAGAGTCTCAGCTTATGTTGCCTTTCCAAAGTATCTCCATAGATATGGGTCAGATCCACCTGAATCATAGACATTAGTAATAATGGTTAGTAATAAGATTAATAATAATGATTAGTATGACTTCTTCCTAGTAGTAGGACGTCTACATAAAAATGAACTAACTGCGATTGGTGCAGTTGTAACAAACGATTTTATATTAGTACATGCTGGTCCAAGAAACACTTACACCATGTCCGAGAGATTTGGTGAAAGCCGGTCCCTTGGCCATGTCTGATTTGAAGAACTGGTGTGTGAAATGCTGAGCAAAAAAAGCAAACATGAGACTGGTGCCCTGTGGATCTGGGATGAAGTGTCTTCTGAGCAGAACCTTCTCCACCACCAGCTTGGCCTCAGGTAGTTCTACCTTCCCTAAAAACGGCAAAACAGAAACAGATTTATTAAACAAATAAACGGCACGTACAGATGCTCCAAATTCTGATTCGTAAGATGACAAATATGGGCCTACACGTTTTGGAACGTGTCTCGTTTAATTTAAACCAACAGCAACAGGTAGTACTTTTACAGTGGGGACACAGTGGACAACATCTTTCAATATGAACCATAAGGTTAATCTTCATAAATTCAGCGTTCAGAAATTCATTTAAGACAGCAAGTCTAGGGTACTTACCCAACACCCCCAGAGGTGCGGGGCAGCCTTTTGGTAAAGGAGGAAGCGTTCGCGTATAATAGGAAAGATTCGAGTAGGCCTCCCAGTTCTTGTAATCGTAATCTGCGTTGTAAGTTGGAGGGCTGTCTATGAGATGCGATCGTGCTATAGTTGGAAAGAAAGAAAAATAATACACATATTTACTGGATCTACACATTCGTTGTCTGCATCAAAATTAAAACATTATATAGCCTACATTATATAAGCGTACCCTGCCTAGAAACGTAATGTCAAGCAGACACAATTTTCTTTTAAACCTGCTTGCTATGACTTCGTTTTCAATCAATACGGAAAACAGATATTTTTACTTACATGTCAGCACATATCGCATAATTGCATCCCGTACGAACGAAATTCTGTTGATGACAACCCACAGTCCTTTGAAATGGGTTAGCGCGTAATGCACCGCGTTTGGACTCGGCTTAAATGTTAGCTTTATCCATGTGAAGAACTCAGCTGTCGAATAAAGAGAGAATACATTTTAAAGGCTTAAACGTAACGATGGAAATGTGTGTCTCCTTGTAAAATGCAGACTTCGTCCATACTCTCTTTCACTTACGAGTGCTGCAGTTCTGGCCGTAAAACCCGGTTCTCGTGCAGTCGCATTCGTAGGCATCGGATCCTTTTGAGGTGCATATTCCTCGGTTCTCGCATGGCTGGCTGCAGCAAGGATCCGCTACACAATCACAGTATTATTAGTTACCATCAAGGCTACAGTCTTGAAATCATTCTATATTTACGTTACGGAAAATCTCTTGAAATTCGTGCAGAATATACGAGTCTCACCTGCTCCAATGAAGATGATCTTTAGAAGTAAGATCACAAAAACGGAGAGGAGTGCATTCATTCCCGTGCCTTCCCTTTACACACCTCGCACGTGCACCGATTTGGAGAGTTGACTGAGCCTCCGATGTGAAACCACTGCATTTATACAGCTTGAATGTGTTACGTAATCTCCCCCCCTCCCCCAAAAAAAAAATTAAATAAATAAATTGTAAATGAAACTGGAATTTCTTGTGTTTCACAATTGACATATTGTTAAATGTTAACATATTTAAGTTGACATTAAAAATAAATTGCTTAGTGAATTCTATAACCTATACAAATTCATATAGATTTATTTTGGTAAATCTTAATTTCGTTTACTTTAAAACTTTAATACTTTAAAAATATACTCAACTTTTACTTTCAAAATAACATCGGGGTATACGGTTGGTGCATTTTTTGGCTTTTTGGTAAACGTTAGTCAGGGGAAATCTTATATCTTAGGACACCTATTGTAAGCGAATAATACAAATAACGTGGAAATTAAAATCACCGATTCAACGACTTTTAATCTCACTTTGTTAACAATAAACTATGCTGCAGATTAAAAACTGCACGTTGTATATATATCCCTAAAAATAGTTCATTTTAAAAATCAAAAAGGTGTTGAGCTGAAGTTTCTGGCAGTTCCATTCATCGTTGATTAACTAAATACAAGTATCTAGTTATTACTATCATCTTTATAAAAGAACAATAAGAAGCGAACTACAGAAACACCATATAAAGTGCTTTCTAATTACCAGCAGAAGCTGCATTCATAAAGCACCTATAACTGAACAAATAACTAAACAAATATGTAAATATAAAAGGATTTAAACTAAATATAATTAGTTTCAATTTATTTCTTCAATATTTATCTACAACTTATCATTGTAATGAAATACCATCTCCTACGCCAATGTTACCTGAAGCTTGCAGTTGCTAGAAAATATTTAAATTTATTGACAATTTCTCACATAGGGCGATGGATTTGTCTTACTGGCCAAAATTTCTTATTTTGTACTTCCCTTTTTATCATTGAACAGAACAAACTTTCCCTTGTGTTTAAGGGGGAGATAAGGTTAAAAGTAAAGGAACTGCGAACTGGCAAACTACAAGCACTTTGCCGAACATGCCACTACGATTCAGGCAGTATGTCAATGCCCTCTTGTGGTGAATATAAGGTACATGAACAGTAATAACCTTGTCACACATGACTGTACTCCAGACATGAATCGGTCAGTGATAAACAGCGCAGCCTCATACCTCCTGGCTCGGAAGCTGAAATTTTGCCTCCCCTGCTGTGGGTGTGTGAGCTTGCATGTTTCCCTTATGTATGCGTGGGGTTTCTCCGCCGTGCAAAAACGTGAGGTTAAGCGAAGTAGTGTCTCAGTAGTTCATAGAGTGCTGGGCTGTGCGAGTGAATGTGCGTCCTCAGATAAACTGACATATTCTCTTCACTTCCCCCCTGTTTTCTGGGATCTGGGTTCAGCTTTACCACCGTAGTGGGTAATGGATGGATTAAATGTGTTTTTTTTTCGTGCATTGGTGTAGCACGAGTAACGGTGACAGAATAAAAGTAGGAAATACTGGGAGTTCGCCGCAATTCAGCACAATTGTACTGACCTGAAAACTGCTGAACTTCAGATGAGTCGAGACTATTCAAACTGCCGCTTTAAGGAAGAAGGTTTAGCGCCTCCCTCATCGACAGCTTCTATACAGTCGGAGACTAAAGAGATTTCGATTTACGGTAGACTTATGAGCCTTAAACAATAAGGTAAGTATTAAGATTACAGTAACTTTTAGAGATCCGTGACTATTGGCGTTTACAGCGTAACTTGAAAGGCGGCTGAGATAAAGTTGATGAAATGTTAGAAACGATCTTCAAATTCCACATAGATTTTATCAGGTCTATAAACAACATTCTTCTCTTGCGCTGAGTAGAAATAAAGATTTGTGTATAATACTGGATAAAAAACAACAGTAGTAACGTTCATTTCGTATTTTCCCTGAGTTAGGAAGTCATAAAAGTTTTATCGAACTTACGTAACCTTAGTGTAAAGTTGCTTTTAAAAAATTTCGTGTAAGTATAATAGAGAAGCAGCATCGGCGCTGCATTTTAGCCTAAAGTATACATACATGTTTACACTTTTCACCTTTCAAATTTTGCATTTCAGAATAACGTTTGCGTTCTTCGTTTTTTTTACCTCCAGTCTTTTGCGAGCTGGATACACTCGTTTCTGTGTCAGTGCAAACTACACGTTACCAATCCGTGCAAAATGAACAATTAAATATATACATGTACTGTGTATGTATACTTAGCTCTTGGCAACTGGCCAACACAAAACGTACAGCAATTTATGTTAATTAACTTATTTAAGTATCTAGGTATTGGTTGTTTTTGCTCCTGCAAAAATTATATATACATCCTGTATGTTAATCGTAATACGTACATTATAGCAATTATATCGGAAAACGTTATAACACTGCAATTTAAACATGTCTTAAGTTTTCTAGGACTGTTAATATTAGCAATTACATGTAAACACGAGGTTAAGCACTAATAAATAGATATCCAGTAATTCGGGTAGTAACTGGTTAATCAACAAAATGTTAACAAAATAACGATGAAAGTGTTTAAGTCTGCTGCTTTATTCATCCGATTAGTTTTCCATTAAGTCCCAAGTTGGGTCCCGGAAATGCGCAGCCAGTGACGGGGAGAGAGGGAGCGAGCCGGGCTGGTGTTGCATAGCACAGCGGTTACCTGCACCGATACCGATTCAACTGGAGGAATTTTGGGCCAGCCTGGAAATTAAAAAAAGAAAATATACACAAACAGCCTGCAGGTTCACACAACAAATAAGTAAACTAATAAACATAAAAGAAACTCGTTCGAGTCATTTGGGGAAGTATCGGGTTTTCGCGTTTTTAACACGCCTTAGACTGCAGGGTTATTTTTTGACCTCCTGTCTTACTTTTTTAATGGCTCTTGTAGGAAATGGTCTTAGGTTTCATTTGAGTGTGTCGCTTAATTTGTCAGGTGTTCCCGTAACGAAAAAGCCAGAATGTTCAATGACAGCCGTGGCCTGTTCTATGAACTCTGAGTCGTTTGGTGTTGCTGTCGCGGTAGTATTTACTGAAAACCATAAGCCATTAGTCTCTGCTTTTTCATGCTCGTGTAAAACTTAGGTAATTTTATGCGCTGGTTACACTTCTGGCTGGAGTGTCAGTATAATCAACAGTAAAAATTTTGCCTTTCCTGCCTTTAATGTATGTAAACAAATAGCTTCTGAAACATATAAAATATTCATTAATATAATCATGTAAATTAATTTCCCTTAATGATTTTTTTTACAGCAACTATAATTTGTTGACAGACTCTGTTTATATATATGTGCCTTTTTTGGGGGGTTAATGCCAATTATAGAGGTTTTAAAGGTGATCAACTGTGCCATATGCTTCTTGCAGCACTTTGTCATCTAATATATGTGAATATCTCTGTACAGGATCAGTGAGTGATTCAGTCTCTGGATCTCCAGGAATCGAATTATACCTTTGATGTGTGGTTTCATCTAAAAGTAATCCTTGCCTGTGACTGATTATGTCTTCCATAGACCCGTACCAATACATCATAGTAAGTAACATTAATTCAAAGTGTTGTGTCCTGTTTTTGAAATGCATGGATGTTTTTTTTCCATCAGCTTTATATGAAAATCTCACACGAAGTCTGCCCCAAATAGCCCTCCACACACTAGAATGATCTTGTTTAACTCGTCTGTACACATCTTATCAGGATTTAAAGATAAAGTCTTAGGAGTGCCCCCCCCCACACACACACACGTTCCTGTGAATATTTAAGCTGTTATCGGAAAGACACATTGTTCTGTGAAATTTTATAAGGCGAAATGTATTATTGTTGGATGATGTATGGTGGCGATTCAAGGCAGAGTTTGGTGTGAGGTTTTCAAAAAGGCAGTGTAGTCTGTCGATGATCTGCCATCTTTGCTTTTTGTGAAAGGGATCTGAAAAGTGTGAGACATCAACAGTGAGCAGCTCTCAGATTGTGCCGCATGATGATTTCATGAGTGTCGCTCTCACTGATTCTCATGACTTGTTTTGTCTTCTTAGACTGACTGGGCAGCAGCTGTGTTGTCTAGGGAAATAATTGTCTTATGAATCTTTTTATGATTGTCCTGTCCATTTCACTTGGCTGCTACATGGTTACCAGTCAAGAGGAAGCCAGGGAAAATGCATATTATTTAGCTTGGCATAATCTGCGTTCATTGTGCGTAGTTTTAAAAAGCAATAATAGAATTGGGTGCACAAACAGAAGATTAATCTGGTGAATTTTCTCATGAAATAATATTTTCATCCTACGCCCCTGATCAAGATATGCAGTTAGAAAACGTACACATTAATGTCTTTGTAACAAGAGTGCATGCATACATTCCATATGTGTGTATTGCATTCTGATTTTATGTGTTTTGTATAGGCAATGCAATGAAACAAAATAATTATGCAAAAAAAAAAGATTATAACCCTGCACAAATGTGCAAAGGAAAATATTCATAATACCCATGTGCAGAAATGAGTACTGATGCGATGAGCTTGTGACAAAAATTGCGCAGTTTTTGTTGTTGTTGGGTATTTTGGTTGGTCGCCATACTAACATGTGATCAAATTCAGTCAATTGCGTCTGATGTGCAGCAATGTCAACTTTTATCAAGCTGATAAAATCTTCAGTGCTATATTTGGGTCAGTGCACTTTGCATTATAAATATTGACGTAAATGGGTAAGCAAGGAAGTAGACATTCTGCGCTTCACAAGCGCTTCCATTTAATAGCTTTCTCAAAGCATTGCATGCAGGTAATTCCGATGAGTCTTGCAAAAAATTTTAAGGTGGTCCAAATTATTTTCCACGAATGTTGTCACTGCAGTGACATTTGACACATCATTAACAGAACAAACTCAAATAAAACACTGAGCAAGTATTTTATTTTTAAAAAGACTAGCTAGATTCATAATAGGAGAATTACCCAAGATGTAATTTGTAAACCAGACTAGAGCACATTCTTGTAGTGTTAGGCTATAAATCAATCAGTGTTCTGTTTTTTTTAAGGCAGTAGTGTAAATATGTTTTTTTTTCTGACACAGGTGGAGCATCAGTATTCACACAGGTTCAGAGTGACTGTACAGAAGGCTGAAAGTGTCACTAAGGGGGCATTAGGTGACTTATGTAAGTAGCAAGATGTACCAGGCGTTCGTATTGGTAGGCCATTTGTCTACAGTGACCACTTCCTGTTAGATATATCTCTGCAACATTAATGTGCGGACATGACAGCCATTATTAAATGCAGCATGATTTTAGTTCCATTCAATGACAGTGTTGCATGAACCTTGTCTGCATCTGTTAAGTACATTAAAATATTCTTGCATGAATAATAAAATACTTCGCAAAATGTAACATGAAATGTGTTTAACAGACCAGAAATGGTTTTATTTTCCATACACTTGATTAACTTGTCACACTATGGTATGCATTCTCAAAATAGATTTGTGTGGCTAAAACGGCACTTCTTTTCTCTCGGACTGTATGGCCAAATGCCAGGTCAACTGTCTTAGATCACATTTCATTCACAGAGTACTTTTGGCTTTTATTCAGCGAAGATCAGGGTGTATTCACCATTAAAAATAGTGAGGGTCTGCTGCTAAAAGCTCACATACCTTGACTATTCATGTTCCCATTTAAATGAAGCTCTCATCACATTTCTTACCTTGGTATCAGATCGCAGATGTCACATTGTTACTTGTGATCTCTGTTAGGCAATTTTGCTGACTGGTTTACAGTCTCATGTAGGGCCAGTAACGGAGAACGTTGACTTTTTGTCACTGTGTATAACTAAGTTACGATATTTTGGTGTGTCTTGAACTTTTTATTGCAAAATGTAACAATGTAATATTTTGACTGATCAGTGCTAACCTTCTCCAGCTCTCCAGGATTAGGATTGCATACGGCCTGTCATATACCCCTCCTCATGTCCACTTCTGTGTGCTTCCGTCCATAATTGTAGTGGACACTCCTGACCCCTATGTGGAGCTGTTCATTCGCTCTGCCCCCGAGTCAAGAAAACGGACACGCCATATCGACAACGATGTCAACCCAGTGTGGAATGAGACCTTCGAGTTTATATTGGACCCCAATCAGGAGAATGTGCTGGAGGTACCTGGCCGGCGTTTTCACGATGTTCCACTGTGGGTCCAGACCCGAGAGGCCTCTTTTCACATCTTCAGTTAAAAAACAATCAAAATGCTCCTCGTAGAGACACAACCGGTTTATGCGGCATTTGAAAACTGTTGGGTTTTTTTTTGGGAGGGGGGGAAGCTGAGAGATACTTGCGTAACTCGATAAAACCACAAACTCCTTTTGCTCTTCTTTCATTTCCTGTTTTCCATTTAGATAACGCTAATGGATGCCAACTACGTGATGGATGAGACTCTGGGGACGGTGTCGTTCCCCATATCGTCAGTCAAGCTGGGGCAGCCTGAACAAATTCCATTCCGCATCGGCAATGTAAGGACTCGGATCCTTTTTCAGAAATTATGCTGTTGCGTCTGTGCATTACGACCCCTCATTGGTTGCCATTTAACGTAATCCGGTTTGAAAGGAATTCCGCCTCGCTTTTGATCTTGACACACATCTCGTATTTTTCTACGTTTCTATGGCTACAGAGTGTTACGTCAGGAATGCCTAGCTTGACTCTTGCAATACGGTGCAAGTCACAACACTGGGATACCATTTACTTAGGGTTCTACTATAACCAGTGTTTTATGTTTTTCCAGGTAACCAAGGTGTACTTAAAAATGAGTCTCGAGATATGGTATGTATCCTCGCGTCATCGCTTAACTGGTTTGCCAGTTGGAGTCTGTGTGCTTTCAAGTGTGTTTTTGCAAAGGCGAAATGCGGCAGAAAAAAAAAAACCCAGAGCTGAAAATTATGTGACTTTCAGGAAAGTCTGTGTGGGGTGGTTTTAGTCATTTCTGAGCTGGGCAAAATGGCTTTGAGCGTCTGCCAAAGGCGCAACTGCAATGACTATGCCGGACCTGCCTTTCCACATTACTGAGTGATGTCTCTCTCCGTAGCTAGTTAGAAGTGACGAGCGACCTGGCTAGCTAAGGTCCCCAGGTCACCTCTCATATCCCTCTCAGTCTCCGGTTCTTTTGCTCACTCTGTCAGTGCCTCCACGGATCTCCGCTTCAGCATGGCCCTGTGCGACCAGGAGAAGCTGTTTCGGCAGAAGCGAAGGGAGCGAGTGATGCTTGGCATCAAGAAGCTGCTGGACATGGAGAAGGGCCAGTTCCTCCCCAGCTCTGTGCAGCAGGTATCTCCTTTTCCTGAAGCAGGATGAGCTTCCATCGGTAGGGTGAAGCGAAGGTGGCAGTGAGCTTTACACTTACATTTTGTTTATTTAGCAGAAACTTTTATCTAAAGCTACGTTTAGTTATGAAAGCAGGGTGAGACCCTGGAGCAACTGGAGGTTAAGGGCCTCACTCAGGGGCCAGTGGTGACATCACTCTGCTGACTATGGGATTTGAACCAGCGACCTTCCAATCAGAGGATCTATGTCCTATGTGAGCCATTCTATCCCAGAAGTTTTAATATCCTGCAGGGTTTTTAATAAGCCTTAAAAGCTCAGGATGGAAGGATTTATTACTGATTTCCTCTCCCAAACCTGTGATGTTCTTCAAAGCTGAAGGATGTAACATTCCTCATTGAGATGTGACCCCAACTTACTCAGACTGACCCAGACTGGCAATGATTCATTTGAATTTGGCCCCAGAAATATGGACCCGTTCCACTTCTTAAGAATTTCCATCCTCGGGGACCAGTTTGAATGTTCCTTGTTGTGCATTTAGATGAAAACTGCAGATCTGGAAGAGCAGTATGTAGAGTACAACCCTATGGACCTCCAGTCCTCCTGTAGGAACTTCTAATGAAAGACGGGGTTTCTGAGGTGAATAATACTGGACACCGTTAGATGGAGGAAGTGATGTAATTTTGGAAGGCAGCAGTGGTGACCTATGCTGTCGGAGAATGAGATGAGTTTTGTAACACTGGAACTAAGCTGTTTTTGAGCTCAGCTGAAAGTTTAGATGTCAGTTATATTTGAATCAGTCGGAAGTCTGTTCTCCTGCCTTATGCTAACATGTCTCACACTGGAAAGAGGAGGTGATGTAACGTTTAATAGTTGCTGATGGCTCCTTTCGCTGGTGTGCGCAGGTGCCAGTCATCGCCATCGTCGGATCCGGTGGAGGATTCCGAGCCATGGTTGGATTCTCTGGGGTGATGAAGGCGCTGTACGAATCCGGGGTGCTCGACTGCGCCACCTACGTGGCCGGGCTCTCAGGGTCCACGTGGTGAGTTCTAGCCCTCCCACCCCGCCAACTTAATTTAATGACTGTGCATTTTTTGACTGGGTAAGCCCCTGGCCGCATCAAAGAGGTGCATACAGGCAGGGAGTGGCTGCTGTTTGTTCGGCTCTCTCTCCACACAAGCAGAAAGACCCACCTCTCTCTCGTCAGTCAGCTGCATCCTGCGTACCCTCAAGTGAGCTTATCTTCAAAACAAGTTCTGAAACCAAGAGCCACTTGCGATTCTGACAAGCCATTTTTATTTTTAAGTGCTTCAGTGCTTTTCTATATTTAAGGCTTTATGTTTCAGCTGCCTTTTTCCATATATATATACACTCACCTAAAGGATTATTAGGAACACCTGTTCAATTTCTCATTAATGCAATTATCTAATCAACCAAACACATGGCAGTTGCTTCAATGCATTTAGGGGTGTGGTCCTGGTCAAGACAATCTCCTGAACTCCAAACTGAATGTCAGAATGGGAAAGAAAGGTGATTTAAGCAATTTTGAGCGTGGCATGGTTGTTGGTGCCAGACGGGCCGGTCTGAGTATTTCACAATCTGCTCAGTTACTGGGATTTTCACGCACAACCATTTCTAGGGTTTACAAAGAATGGTGTGCAAAGGGAAAAACATCCAGTATGTGGGCAAAAATGCCTTGTTGATGCTAGAGGTCAGAGAAGAATGGGCCGACTGATTCAAGCTGATAGAAGAGCAACTTTGACTGAAATAACCACTCGTTACAACCGAGGTATGCAGCAAAGCATTTGTGAAGCCACAACACGCACAACCTTGAGGCGGATGGGCTACAACAGCAGAAGACCCCACCGGGTACCACTCATCTCCACTACAAATAGGGAGAGGCTACAATTTGCACGAGCTCACCAAAATTGGACAGTTGAAGACTGGAAAAATGTTGCCTGGTCTGATGAGGCTCGATTTCTGTTGAGACATTCAAATGGTAGTCAGAATTTGGCGTAAACAGAATGAGAACATGGATCCATCATGCCTTGTTACCACTGTGCAGGCTGGTGGTGGTGGTGTAATGGTGTGGGGGATGTTTTCTTGGCACACTTTAGGCCCCTTAGTGCCAATTGGGCATCTTTTAAATGCCACGGCCTACCTGAGCATTGTTTCTGACCATGTCCATCCCTTTATGACCACCATGTACCCATCCTCTGATGGCTACTTCCAGCAGGATAATGCACCATGTCACAAAGCTCGAATCATTTCAAATTGGTTTCTTGAACATGACAATGAGTTCACTGTACTAAAATGGCCCCCACAGTCACCAGATCTCAACCCAATAGAGCATCTTTGGGATGTGGTGGAACGGGAGCTTCGTGCCCTGGATGTGCATCCCACAAATCTCCATCAACTGCAAGATGCTATCCTATCAATATGGGCCAACATTTCTAAAGAATGCTTTCAGCACCTTGTTGAATCAATGCCACGTAGAATTAAGGCAGTTCTGAAGGCGAAAGGGGGTCAAACACCGTATTAGTATGGTGTTCCTAATAATCCTTTAGGTGAGTGTATATATATACAAAAATGTCTCAATTTCCCCATGAGGAAATGTTATATCTATCTTATATAGGGCCAAGTCTTTTTCTTAAAGAAACAGTCATTTACAGAAGGCAGCAGTCGTGACTTGGATGGTGCCTTTGAAACTGGAGGATGATGTGATTTAACAGGTTTTCTTGTACAGGCCTGTGCAAAATGCCTCTCCCAGGCACCTCAGGTCAGCTGTGCCAAGCAGGCGGGGGAAGAGCTACATTCCAATAAGCTCTGCTGTTTGTTCCCCCGGGGAATGCAGGTACATGTCGACGCTTTACTCCCACCCGGGATTTCCGAACAAGGGGCCCCAGGACATCAACCAGGAGCTGATGAAGAGTGTGAGCAGCAACCCACTGAAGCTGCTCATGCCGCAGAACATCAAGCGCTACATCAAGGCGCTCTGGACGAAGAAGGCGGGCGGGCAGCCCGTCACCTTCACCGACATCTTCGGCATGCTCATTGGGGAGACCCTGATCCCCGGGGTGAGGCACCGCCCCCTCTCTCATTTCATTGGCCCATTTCCACAGTGATATTCAAGCATTTGAAACTGATTGGTTGCTCTTGGATTTTCAGAGGGCTTTTTTTCCATACTAGTCCAATATATATAATGTGTTAAGCCTGAATGGCCCTCAAATCCCGGTTGAACCTGTGTATCTTTGTTTACTTTGAACAACTACTGTCACAGATGTCATTTATGTGACAGGGTCACTCAGGCCTTGCCGTGTCACACTTTTTCAGAGGTCCCACTCAACACACCCAATCGCCTATACAATTCACAGATTGTCCCCCATCCCCCAATTGTTTGCACCCTTAGCTCATCACACCCACAATTCTCTGACTCCCTGGAACTTCACCCTGTGTCTCTGCCTGAGGGTTTGAGGTTCTGTAAAAACATTTACAGACTCTTTTTTTCCACAGTGGTGTGAATTTTTGGTTGGTCGCGAGGGTTTCCTGCACAGGATATCCTTATCAGATGTTGCTTGTCGCCGAGCACCCACGTGACATTTTTGTGACAGTAAGTCCTGGATGGCATGCCAGTACCCCTCAGAAGGCTCCTCGTGAGGTCACGCCGGGTGCACTTTCACGCACCGGTTCTGGCTTCCTCGTTCGATCTTACCGGAAGAGCCTCAGACGTAGCCTAGTTTAGATACCGACGGCGTCTGATGCGAATGCAGCTTGTTGAGTGGCTCTGCCACTTTGCCCTGCTTCCTCTTGCAGTTCCAGTAAGCTAGGCCCTTTTTGGCCGGTGGCATCACGTCACGTGCCAACCGACTTCATCCTACCCGACGTCAAATATTCCCTAATCATCTGTTTGTTGGTATATATTCAGCAGACGCTTTTGTCCAAAGCGACACACAAGTGAGACAAATAATATACTATAAACATATGGCTGCAGCTAGGAGCTTCCAATGAAGTGTAAGTGGTATTGGAGCAAGAGCTACACAGAACCTACTAAGATACTACGTGTTTAAGAGCCTGTTTATACTTGACTCTCAACAACTCGTTCACATATGCATGAGTGACAGGAATTCAAAACTGAATATTTTCAGAGGTGAGAGAAAAAATATTTCAAACACTGTTGTGTGTTTTGTGTTCAGCATCTTCAAAATTTAATGCCAGTTTAAGTTTCTTTTGCTTCTGAATTCAATTTTAGGCAAGAAAGCAGTGTGATATGTACAAAGTACAATGAAATTTGTTTTGAACTCATTGCTTTATTAATATTGCAGTATTTATTGCAATTTTTTCCTAATATCATGCAGCCGTAATACTAAGTACAAAATACTAACTATTGCAAGATCATGTAATGCAACATTCAGCCTGAGGTGGTAAAGTGATATGTGGCAGAGCAGAGTACCAATATGACGTGGAGCAGTGGGTAATATATAAAGAATTCTGCAGCAGTATTATGAAATAAGCAACTCACTGTGGAGGCATCCAGTGTACATTTCATGCCACAACCTCATACAAACAAGTAAGACCAGAAATGATGGAGCCAACCAAGATGGTTTTCCCGCACTGCCCCCTGGTGGACATGACCTTTAATCCAGAGGTGGAAATTTCAGGTCCAGAAATTAAAAAACCAGACCAATATTTTGTTTCAAGCAACCAGTTGAGCACTCTGTGACTGTGACTCTTTATGCTCCACTGGTTGGTTGAAATAAAATTTTTAATTTTTGGACCTGAACTTTTCGCCTCTGCCCAGATTGATTACTCAAACAAATATGAGCACAAACACTGCTTGCCCGGTGACAGCACAAGTAAACACACATGTTGCATGCATAGAGCAAAAACAACCCTTAAGACAACTATTCAAATCAGCGGATACAGTGCAACACTAAAAGCATTCAGCGAGCATGGTGAGGTAGTCTAGTAGTGATCCAGGAATAGATGGGTCAAGCGCCATTATGATATATTCTTACGTCACAGTGGCTGTCATTCTCCTTCTAGCGAATGGACTCCACTCTGAGCCAGATGCAGGAAAAGGTGAACGAAGGCCAGTGTCCAATGCCCCTGTTCACCTGTCTCCACGTCAAGCCGGACGTGTCCGAGCTCATGTTTGCAGGTAGGCCTGGCACTCACCCACGAGGTCATTCGGTCTTTCAGTTCCTAATGCTTTTGGGATTGCTGTTAGCCAGTGGCGCTTGCAGCTACAAGGAGAGATTGAGCTGTAAAGCAGGGCGCTCAGGAAGATTTCACAATGTCACGTTTGGGCAACGCATAGCTAGACCAAAGGCTTCAGCCAATTATCAGCTTTTTGCCGCTGAGAGGCCTGCAGCACGCTAAGACATATCTTCCGACAAGGAAGTTGCCACACTGTGCATCTGCACTAATGATGACAGCCCAAAACAACCAAATGCTCTGAGGGCTACAAAAAAAATAAATAAATAAACAACTGTCTTCCTTTTTTTTTTACATTTTTTTTTCTCTCAGATGTGGACAGGGGACATCACACTTTGGTTTCTCTGTTCTGTGTGCTTACCATTACATTTGTGTACATTTGCATACCTGGGATATAGGGAAATTCACCAGTGACAGATATAATATTTCACTTTCTGTCTAATTGAGGTTCTTGCTTTCGTTTTTTTTTTGTCACACATTGCTATAGTTACACACAAACTGAAATTTGTTCCTAATTAAAAAGTGCAAAAAGCTAGCAGATCGCACTTGCTGCAAGTATTGCAAGTGTTAATGCTGTCATTCATACCAGCTATGACTAACGTTTCTCTATTCACCATTGTAATGTAAATGAGAATTGTGTCACAGGCTGTATCCAGTACAGCAGGACCTTAATAAGTGGTTACCCTTGGACAGTGCAGCTGAGGGTTTATGGAGAATAAATGGTTTCCTAAGTATGAGGTGTGGAATACATTTAAATGTTGTTTTCATATGTAATAATTTGTGTTGAATGTCACTGATTAAACTCAAGTTAAACAAGAAAAAAAATGCTTCATGAAATCTATGGAGGGTATAATATATACACCCTTTAAATCACGGGTGTCAAGCTCCAGTCCTTGGGGGCTGGAGCCCTGCACATTTTTGGGTTTCCCCTCATTTAACACACCTGATTCAACTCCTTGTGCTAATTACCACACAGCTCTTGAGCTGAATCATTTGTGGTGGAACAGGGAAAGAACTAAGCTACACAGGACTCCAGCCCCCCAGGACTGCAGTTTGACACCCCTGCTTTAAATGATTTCATGGAGTTCTATCGATCGATTTAGGTCGGCTTTTCAAAAACAACATTCCCATATTCTGATGTGAGAGAGTCAACTGTGGTCCTTTCTGGGTCTATGGAAAGACAAAGAGGAGTGTAGATGTTGGATAAAATCCTTGGTACCAAGCTGGCAGATTGGCCAACTGTTGGCTAGGATCCACCTGCTAACAATTTAAATACAAATATACTGTTTTATAACTTGGCAAAATTCCTGGGTGTAGAATCCTGTGACAATTAGATGATGGAATATGCTGCATTTTCTGGGAATTTGATTACACCTCTCCATTGATACATGAAGATAGCCGTTCCGGTCTAGTAAAATGTGTGTTTTGTAACAGTGAAATTCTCTCAAGCATTCCAAGCCCCACTTCCACTTCCTCAATGTGTGTTTGTGTTGCTTATGTTCTGGCTTACAGATTGGGTGGAGTTTAGCCCATACGAGATCGGTATGGCAAAGTATGGCACCTTCATGCCACCCGGGCTCTTCGGGAGCAAGTTCTTCATGGGCAGCGTGGTCAAGAAATACGAGGAGAATCCTCTGCACTTCCTCATGGGTGAGAAACTGGACCGGGGTCATTTGTTTTTAACCACAAAGTTGGGATTTTCTGCCGCTTAAGGATACCGAACGTATACATGCCTAGATATTTAAACACGCTGCTACAAATGACTCGAGGTGTTCAGGGCAGACAGAAAACCTGGCTGAAAATCAGAAGGATCGAAAGAACTGTGACAGAATAAGAAGGACCGACAAACACCATAAGTATCATATGCAGGATGTATATCAGAGTTCCCCAATTCCAGTCCTGATGGGCCAGTTTGCAATAGAGTTATATGCAGATATATGAATATAATGGACTTAAAAATGCATGCATGCATCCATCCATCCATCCACCTGTAATGCAGTACATATTTATATAAGCATACATACACACATAAATATATGTATATCTAAAAAAACCAAATACAGTGGTACCTCAGAACTCGAATTTAATCCGTTCAGAACTCTGGATCGAATCCTAAAAAGTTTAAGTTGTGATCGATTTTCCCAATAAGAAATAATGGAAAACCAATTAAATGGTTCCCGGCCCCAAAAAATTACACCGAAATATGTTTTTTTTAGCATTTAAACACAAAATGAACCGGATAAAACAAGAAGAGCATATACTGTACTAAACACATCTAAGCACATTTATCAAAACAGTAATTTGTAAAGTAAGAAAATAAATGTATCCAAACAATGTGTCCTGCACTGATCGTCCGCTCCTTCTGTGTGCCACGCCCCCTCCTTAACCCCGTGTGGAATCCCCGTGTGATCAGCTGTCTCTGGTTGTTGTCATTAGCCCTCTGTATTTCGTCCGCCTTTCAGTTTGTTTCCCCAGTCTGGTCATTGTATTGTCCGTCTGCGTTTTGCCTGCCTTACCTCTAATTAAACCCCGTATTCCCCGATACCCTGACGTCTGCATCTTTGTCTCCGTTCCTTCCCCGCTCTGCACAACAATATTATTATTATAATTAAACATATTAATGGTTTATTATTAATATTAAAATAATGAATAAGAAATCTTTATTTTTAAATGTATTTTATTATATAATAATAATTACTGTTACGGTCTATTATTGTCTAAATGTATTTTTACTGTCTAAATACATGTATTCAGCTACTGTAAACATACACGATACTATCACAGCGAATGTGAGGCTGAGACTGAAGCGTTACCCTTTGTTTCCGCTGAGAGACGTGTGGCGTGACTCATTTTCCCGCACGTGCAAGTTATCTTAGGTCGGTGTTCATGGTTTGACTTCTGAGATTCAAATCGAGCTCTAGGTATTTTTTTTTCGAATTGGTTGGTTCGACTTTTAAGAAATTTGAATTCTAATGAGTTCGAGAACTGAGGTACCACTGTATCTGTCTTTTAATGCCTGATATACTTAATGACCTTCATTTACTTTATATCATATACATACTGTACTGTAACAAGATTTAGTATAAACCTTAGTAAGCAACTTTAAACATGGAATGCCTCCAGAAATAAACTCCCTCATTAATAGTAAACTCTTCATGTGGTTATATGTGGTATGTTTATGTTTATGGTGGGACCAGGTATAGGCAAACTAGACAGCTGCCTAGGGCTGACACAAGGGGGCTCAGACAGACCCATGAAAAAATGCCTGTGTATGTGTGTGTATAATGGTTATATTACATTGTGGGGACCAAATGCTCCCCACAATGTAAAAAAATACTGTCATTTTGACGTTGTGGGGACCATTTTTCAAGTCTACACAAAGATCTGTGAATGCAATAAAAAAAACTGAAAATGCCAAAAGTCTCCTATTTTGCTTGGTTACTTATGGTTAAGGTTAGGGCTGGGTAGGGGTTACAATTGCCATATTGGGATTAGAGTTTTCCCCACAGAAATGAATGGAGGGTCCCCACAAAGATATAATTACAAACCTGTGTGTGTTTATAGCTTTAGAGAGAACAAGCAGTTGCCTACGGCCCCAGAATTATCTGTGAAATGATCATAAATTATGTTGATGGGGGGATGGGGGGCTTGTAAAGCTCTGCCTAGGGCCTCTGAAAATGTAGATCAGCTGTGTTTACCAGTGCAGCTTGTTTTCCAGCCAATTACAGCAGAATGGTACGTTTACGGTGAGTCACTGCAGCCAGTGCTGCTGTGCCAGTGGGCCCTTGGGGCTCCAGCCACTCACAGTGTCTGTGCTCAACAGGAGTTTGGGGCAGCGCTTTTTCCATCTTGTTCAACCGGGTCCTGGGTGTCAAAGAGACCACAGGAGGGAGCACCATGGAGGAAGAACTGGGTGAGAGTGGCCTACAAATACAATAAGAAGTTTATTCATCTGCTAGAGGAGTCAGTGTGCGTTATGGCTTTGATGGCTCGTGGGAGATTTACTTGCATAAAAATGTTCTGAGGGCAAAAGGAAAAATTATTGGTTCAGAGAGATAAGCAATCAGATTGTAGAAGACATGGGTTCAAGCAACTAAAGGAGCCAGAACAAAGATATCTGATTGGTTGGACCCCCCTCGTCTTGTCCCTTGGTCCCACCTGCTTTACAATCTTATTGGTTATCTCTTGGAACCATTTTTCATCAATTTGCCTGCATTCAAAATAACCAGTAACAGAGTCTGTTGGTGTGATGGAGTCTTATGATCAATTTTCTTATTGGTCTTGGTACTGTGTGAGTGAGAATTCAGTATCAGTAACCATCATTGTGGTGCCGTTGTTAGTGACACAGCCAGGGGGGGGGGGTTCTTTCTGCATGTGAACCCGCCTTGATGATGCCGTGCTGCTGTTTTAACAAGTTCGATTGTGGCTTTCAATGCTCCCCTCTTGTCTGATACCCAGAGCAGATAAAGCCGAAGCATATCGTGGGAGAAGACAACCAGGACAATGACGAGGAGCCGCGGCAGGGTGAGGCTTCTAGGGGATCCGTTTCCAGGGGTGGGTTTCATCTGTGAAAAGCCCCTTTCAGTCATACTAGTTTGTCATTAATTCTGACTGGTCGGAATTCAGGGAGGCGATACCAGTAAACAAGTTTCTGAACTGTGTGGTTTTCTGCTAAGTAAGAAAGTGTGACTTATAATGTGACTTGCTGAGCCTGGGCCGTGATAATGTTTCCCCCAAATACCCCACGCTCAGACAACCAGGAGGTGGAGGATGAGAACCAGCGGAACGCACAAGCCAGCTGGGTGCAGAGGATGTTCACCTCGCTGGTGGGCGAGTCCACCCTGTTCAACACGCGCGAAGGCCGCGCTGGCAAAGTGCATAACTTCATGCTGGGCCTCAACCTCAACAGCACACTGCCCATGTCTCCCTTCCCCTGCATGAATGACAGCCTAGCGGAGGAAGAAGTGGACGCCGTCACAGGTAAGTGGTTCGGCGCCCCCTGAACAAAAAAAGCTCACGTAAAACGAAACGCACAAGCAACACAAAATGCACTCCAAAAACAAACAAAAGAAAACACACACAAAATGCATACATAAAACAAATTGCACACAAAAAAACTAAATGTCCACACAAAACAAACAAAATGCACACATAAAAAAACTAATCAACACACTATCCTCTGTCTTTGCGTGGTTTGGGTGTGACAGTAAATGGTAATGTAATTGGTCCTGTGTCTATGAAGTGTTACAGGAACTTCTCATTTGCTCCCTGCGATCTGCACATTAATGACCACTGCTCTAGACCTTTATAAATTGGAAATTTGATTTCCTTAGTTCTGCAAAAGTGAGATAAGCAATTGGACTTATCTCTTGAGAAGAGAAGTGATAACTTGTGGATTAATAATGCGGAGTTTAACCATTTATAAGCCACTATTGTGGTTAGTCAAAGTGCAAAATTCTGTTTATGGACATTTACTGAATTATTTTACGCAGAAGAGCTTGTTTATATTTAGAGGTGTTTATTTGAACATCGTCATGCCAGGAATGTTTCATATGAACGCAAGCTTCACTTTTGGTATTGCAATTTACGTTTGTTTTTGTTCAAGCTATCTCTTATGGTCTCTGTACCCCACCAGACCCAGATGAGTTTGACCGGATCTACGAGCCCTTGGACGTGAAGAGCAAGAAGATCCATGTTGTGGACAGTGGGCTGACTTATAACCTCCCATACCCACTAGTGCTTCGGCCACAGAGGGGCGTAGATCTAATAATCTCCTTCGACTTCTCGGCCCGGCCCAGCGACTCCAGCCCTCCCTTCAAGGTAAGCAGGAACTCTCTGTTTATCCAGTAGAACAAGAGCCTCTTGTAATATCTTAGTAACTAGTCAGGGTTAGTGCTGGAATCACAGATAAAGGCCTTAAGTTTAGAAATGGTTTGGCTATCAGGCTTTTGGCAGTTGTGAATTGCATAGAAAAGATGAAAGCTATCAGCGCAGGAATGCACTGCCATCACACCTTCAGCAATCTCACTAATGTACCAGCATTGGCGTCATTGGGAATGCAGATTAACCGTCTTTGCTCTCAGGAGCTGCTTCTGGCCGAGAAGTGGGCCCGCATGAACAAGCTGCCCTTCCCAAAGATCGACCCCAAGGTGTTCGACCGGGAAGGTCTGAAGGAGTGCTATGTCTTCAAACCCAAGAAGGGCGACCGCAACTGCCCTACGGTCATTCACTTTGTTTTAGCCAACATCAACTTCAGGAACTTCAAGGCTCCAGGTAAGAGAGAGATTGAGCACATTGTAACACCATCTCCCTGGGAGAGGGAGGGGAAACAGAGCCATGTGACCCAGGGGATGGGTAGGAGGAACAGGGAAGTAATTTGAGGACAGGACTGGAGACAGGTGTAACAAAAGGCAAAAACAAAAGGGTTTTTAGTGCAAACGCAGGGGAACATACATGCAGACACCTGTGTCACTTTGGGAAAGGTTTGGCATTAGTGTGATGCATTTCCTGTAAACAAGAAAGAGATGAATTTTACATTCATTTTAGAACCATTTGGTTGTAACCAAGCAACCAGGAATAATTCCGGTATTTGTTCAAATCGTAGTTTAGCTGCATTCAAAGTGAAGATATCATCAACGTTTTATGTTCATGTATATCTTCTGGGGATATGTGACACATGTATTACATTTCATCTGTATATACAAAGTATCATTTGCAATTTTAAGGTGGAGTCCCAGTCATTAGGTCCCTAGGTTTTATAAAACCCATGAATATATCAATATACAGCAAAAATCTTTCTAGGAATGATCAGACATATCTGAAGACCTTTCATCTGCATTTTTCTGAGAATCAAAATGTTTAACGAAGGGGGTCACCAACCTTTTTGAAACTGAGAGCTACTTCACAGGTCCTGAGCCATATGAAGGGCTGCCAGTCTGATACTCTTCTTAAATCGTGTATAATAAACATGATTTAAATGCTTTTTTTAGATTTTGTCATTTTCAAATCTATATAAATCCAAATGTGATTAAAGAAGAATAGCAAGAGGATAAAATTAAATTTTAGATGCTGCTCACTGGTGAGTTGAACTATTTTTATAACACGTCCGCGGGCACCATGTTGGTGACCCCTGGTTTAAGTTGTATACGGTTTAATCAGTGTTCTCCATAAGGACAACCAGCATGTCAGCTCACAAAAGCCCCCAAGAAATCTACATGAGGTTCAGGTTCTGCTTGGAAAAACTGGTTAGTAGGAAATGTTTAGGTTTATTACTTGCAGTTAATGGCACATGTAGGTTTCCAGTCATCAGTCTGAGGAATAATGATCTCTAACCGCCATACTTTGTATTCTCATTGCATTTACTTCCTTCTTCCAGTGCCTCAATATTAAGAAATGTATTTCACTTAATAATAATAATTGATCCCTGTGGGGAAATTGCCTTTACGCCTCCCCCATCTTGCTCTTTGTAGAGTAATTGGCTGTGAAGGGCAGCCACCTGTAATCAGTAATCAGATACAGCAAAAATCATTGTAGGAATGATCATACATATCTGAAGACCTTTCATCTTGCTGCGAAGGGCAGCCACTTTGTTGTGGCACCCAGGGGGCTGGGGGTTAAGGGCCTTGCTCAAGGACCCGCAGACATGCTGAGGCCGGGTTTGAACTGGAGGCCTCCTGATCACAGGCACACAGGCTTAGCCCACTGCTCCACCTACTGCCCCCATTAAGCTACTAAACTACTAATTAAACTACATTGTTGACCTTGACGAAACTAGAATTAGTTATTTTATGTTATTTTTTTTATTTGTAGCACAGCCTAAATACATGTTACATCTATGATACACGCAGGTTAAATGAAACAGTCGTTGACAGTAGTTGGATGTAGCCAGAAAATTACATTTGCTAAACAATTGCCTTTCGTGATTAAACATATTTGAAGACAGTGCTACTCCCAGACAAACTGAACATGCCAGCCGTTAAACTTGAAATCCTCAGCAGAAGTGCAACATTAGGCCACAGATCCAACATCATCTTAGTTCAAGCCCTGCTTCAGACCAAGGACTGCACAATATTGATGGACTGGAGGATGGCTTGCTTTGAGAGTGAAAGATCAGCTGGTGCATTGGCCAGACTGTTTGGTTGCAGTTTCTCAGCACTGAGTGGCAGGATGATCCTGTGGTTGAGGTCGTATTTTTAGATCTCATCGATTCTCTCTGGTGTGAAACTTCTGCGAAAACGACTCAACAAAGCATCGGCTGTGTCAGTTTTGCTTTCTTTGATGTCAGGATCTTTGTTATGGGGGTCACTTGGCATACATCATAGACCTCCATCAGCACTGTTTGGACAGTGGTGAGTTAGGGTACAGTGTGTTTATAATTTAGCAGTAAGTCAGTGAGTGCAGGAAGTAGTACAAATTATCTTTACACTGCTGGACACTACCGTTTACACTTTTAAATCTGTCAGTACAATTTGTATCATTTATATTGCTGACTCTGTATACACTATCCACACTGCTAATACTATTTATTTATTTGCTTTTTTTGTACTGTACTGGTTCTGATGCTGCTTTCATTATTTATTATCTACTACTGATATTTTTATCGTTTTGCTCGACTTTTAGTAATTATCCAGTAATACCGTCGTATTCTAAAACTGCAAAGTAGATCTCATTGTACCTATGCAGTGACAGTGGTACTTGTGCAAATGACAGCAACGGTATTCTGTTCTAAGATCTGATTACTTCGATATGATGATAATGATCTGCTGTTCCATAAACAGGTTAACAGACTCTTTCCAATCTTAGGCCTAACTCAGCGTTGGCCAATCTCATCTGTAAAGGGTGAGGACTCTTCAACCAATCAGTCCTCTAATTAGTAATCTAATTAGGGAGCTGCAGTGAAAACCCACATGTACAGCACCTCTTTCTGGATAAGATGGGCCACCCCTGGCCAACTGAATGCAGTCTTCAATAGCTGCCTTGCTAATGTAACTTAACAACATTGGTGAGCAAGGTTCCGCTAATCCGCTAACCACTAATTAGCGAAGCTGTTATTTCAGTTGGCAGTGCCCACCACTGCTTAGCAATAAAGGTAGAACATAAGTAATGTTTTATAGCAGTATTTTGTGTCTTGGGAATTCCTCATGTATGCATGGTGTGTTTACAGGAGTACCCCGGGAAAACGACAAGGAGAGGGAGTTTGCCGACTTTGACATATTTGATGACCCCGAGACGCCCTACTCTACATTCAACTTCCAGTACTCCAACCAAGCATTCACACAGCTGCACGACCTGATGGAGTTCAACACCCTCAATAACATCGAGGTCAGTTGCTACGCTACTGGTGACAGTTGCTTCCTCTGAGAGGAAGTGGGCTGTCAGCTGATAGCAGATTACATGGAGGTTTAGGATACAAACTTGCAAACGGAAAGCTGCTGGATTAGGTGAGGTCATGATTAGAGCATATCTACTTCTTTTGACCGATAAGTAGTGTTGCCTATGTAACAATGTTAGGGAAAAGGGCTAGAGAAGAGGTAGTCATCCAGGGAGAGAATGAGGGCGTCCGAAGACCACATAGTTCTGAACGTTCGTCTCTCTTGTGTTGTCTATCAGGTGATCAAGGACGCTATCAAGGAGAGCATCATGTACCGGAAGGAGAACCCCTCCCGCTGCTCTGTGTCACTGTCCCTCAACGAAATCGAAAACAAGAAGTTCCTAAAGAGGGAGAATGGCGCAAAGGTTTAATCCAGACGGACAGAGAAAATGACTGTGGAAGCGTGGAGCTTCACACATGTCATTAACCCAACCCTGGCCGGTCACGGCTATCTTTAGCACCCATAGCTCTTGGTCCAGTGGTGTATATGATCATCCTAAGGTATAATAATGGGGTATAGAAGCATCCCCTAAATATAAGACCTCACAGTTAGCCTTTATAATATGGCCAAAGGACCCATGCATTCTTACGAACAGATTCTGTAAAGCCAAATATGGGGATGTTGCCATTTCCACCCCTGAGTTTAAAGATGAGGCAACTCAAGTGTATTTCTATATGTCTGTGTGTGTGTGTGTGTGTGTGTGTGTGTGTGTGTGTGTGTGTGTGTGTGTGTGTGTGAGTACTCGCAGTAACCACCTCCAGGGTCATTAATTGCAAGTGTTCTGGTTTCTGTCATATTTTTCACTCAAATTATGTGATGAAAACATAAATGCTCATGATACAACTATTAATGGTCAAAAATTACTTGCAGTCACTGCATAGCTGTTTGCAATTCTGTATTATTATACTGTATATATTTAGTGATATTATGGTGTAATATCAGCTCAGGATAACAAAGTTAGTGGGGACATGCTTATCTTACCACTTTTTAAACATGTTTATCACTATATATCTTTACTTAGATGTTCATTTTAGATACAGTATGACTTTAATTTCCTTACTGTGCATCTCTCGATGAATGGAATTAGGCCAGAGAGACCTGAGCTGCTCCTCATGAACGGGATGGTGATCAGGCGATTCGTCAGAGCGAAATGTCGCGCTAACCTGTCACTTCTGCGCCATCTGTCGTCTGTGTGGTGTATTGCAGCATGAACGTCATTGTAGGCATCCTCCTTGAAACGCATTTCATGTCTTTGCTTAAAATACTCTCAAAACACTCTTACTTAATATTATTGTTATTATTCCATATATGTAGCTGATTCCATCTTTAACCTTGAAACTTTTTGTATCAAAAGAAATGAAGATAACACTTTTTCGTTTTATGTTGCAGTAATATAGACTTTATATTTAAAATTGTACTTTATTTGCCTTACATTGTCTAACAACAGTGTTTACAGTAAGATATGTTTTAGTTTGAATCGGTGCAGTTTAAGTCGACTTGGTTACTCTGAAAGTGCGAACTGTCAACATTTCTGTTGACAGTAAACACTTTTATTTATGTGAATATAACATTTGCATAGCAATGCCTGTATGATGAATCTTATTTATAAGTAAAAGTGATGAATAATATGCCTTTGTACACTGTCTTGAAAGTTTGCAAGATGATGCTGAATAAAGGATAGGCTTCAACTTATATATTTTATCAGTTTTAATTATTTTTCATTGATTTCTGACTATCATTGTTAGCTTCAAAGTGCAATGAAAATTACTTAAATTCTGCTATCATAGAATATAATCAGTCTGATGTAAGACCAAACTGATGAGGTATCATTTTTTAATCAGTGATGGCATCCACATCTTGTCTGGTTCACAAATTCGTTGCGTGACACTTCAGATAAAACACGCGTCACGATTCATTAACGTTGAATCACCATGAGATAAGTATGTTTGTATTACGTTTGTTTAATACATACGTAGTATCTTAATACTATATTATTTGTGCCCCATCAACTAAAGTGTTACCCATGGTGGTTCCTTAGTTACAGTACTGGTGCGGCTGCTATACATAGCAGATACGCTAAGTGTTACGTCACAAAAATGTTGGTAATAGTGCAAATGAGAGTATAAATAGATATAGAAAGAATAAATGACATTTCCAACCATGCCTATATTGTTTTTGGCACTTAAGACATACACAAAGAAACGCAGTTAACCCCCTAATTGGTGGGGGGGGGGGGAAATAGCAAATCAGCAAGTGGAATGTACCGCAAATGAATAGGTATGGTTTCAGAGTTACGTGTCACGATCAGGAAAAATATATTCAGTGGCTTTCAAATTTCCAGTTGATCCATCCAGCAATTCTAGAACTTGTAGAGGTTGGAGGTGTGGAAGGAGTAGGGATTATACAGAGGCCAGGGGTGATGGGGCTGTTCAGGGAATATATTGTTGTCGGTCCGAGAACATCTTTTCTAATTATGCAAGTTACGCAAGGATTTCTTAGTTCTCCGGAACTAGACAGGTATTGAAAAACAGGTTAACCAACTCTGCATGCTTGGCCCTGTTTTCATCCACTCAGCCTCACCTATTTAAATTACACGGTTCCGATTTAGACCCACCTGCTTTATAGGCCTACAAGCACTTTTTTACATTTATTTTTACGTTTACTTTTTTTTACGTATGTAATGTAATTACCAGAATCCACTTGAGGTATTACGTTCGCAGCTATATTACGCCCTTGACCTATTTCTGTTTGCTGAATGACTGTGGTTTGCCCTAGAATATTGTGAATTTCCCGGATTTAACTTTGCTGACTGGTGTTTTCATATGTGTTTTGCGGACTTTTTTTTTGGTTTTCTGATTAAACACCTGTTAACTTCCGCACTTGCATTTACCGTTTATTTTGTGACAGCAGAAATGCATTTAGTGAATTTTAAAAAATGTTTTCAAAATGAATTAGTCGACATCAATAACTATAATGATATTTTCTCTTTATTATTTTGTAATCTGAAGACTGTAAAAGGCCCCCCTTTTTATTCAGGAAATCTGACTTCCTGATTCCCAGCATGAGATATATGAACTAGATTGTACATTCATAGTTTGGTTATTTTTCCAAGCATATTTCCTGGCGCCACTGCAAAGCCAAATCTAAACACTCGCACACCTGATAAGATTTTTCAGCAAACATTTCAGAATAAAATGGATCATGTTATGTAGTGACCTTCTTTGCCTGTTACCCTAGAAGAAATTCATGGTTCGTGCAAGGTGACTGACTCATTTTTCATTCGTTGTCAGAGGCCAGCTTGTCTAGACGTTAAAGATGAGGAAATGTTTAAATGCGTTTTAAGTTTTTCCTTTGAGGGATTTGCTATTTTTTTATTCACTGAATACACGTTTTTATATGCGTCACCTCAGGGTCATATTTCCAAATAAGCCTCGCAAATAAAACAATTGGAGACACGTATAACTGTCGGTAGCAAAAGATAATTTTAGTCAGTGGTGGTAACTGCTCGAGAGTGCGCACTTGGCAAACCACGGGCGCCAAACATTATTACATGTGAATACAGTATGTCGTCACGCATAGGCCTGTATAGTCTTATAAGCAATACTATACCGTTTTCATCAAGAAATATCTCTATCCAGCGAATTAAATACTTTCATTTATCATCTGTAAAAACAAAAAACATCGAAAAGGCATGTGATGTTTTAAAATATGTGGCTTGTTTACCTCAAGAGCTTCGTAAAAATACATTAAAACAACAGCGAAACCGTGTACAAACTGAATTTTCCGTAACACCTGTAATAAACTGTAAACTCAGAATATGGGCAAATATACAGCCGCCATTATCCACACTGATCAGTAAAAAGTGCAAACATGTAGCACATGATTTACATTAAACTACAGAAACAGGAAAAAGACAAATGTCCTCCTTGTGAATTTCAACAAGCCCATATGGAAATAAAATAGGCTTATCAGCTGAAACCAAGATAAGATAAGATAAGATTGACTTTATTAATCCCACAATGGGGAAATTCTTTAGAAACAGCAGCAAGAATAAGAAAGACAGTAAAAAAAGACAGTATAACAGATACAGCTTTTAACACTTTGGGAAACTTTGGGGAAATAGATTAACAAAAAGATCACAAATGTTGAGAACGTCTACACCTAATGTAATAGGCCAAATCTGGCAGTAACTTAAAACTGTACAAATTCGACAGTAACCTAAAATTCTTCAAAAGGATTTATGGAGCCTGATACAGAATAACCATTTATTTCTAGAGCTACAGCGCCATCTGCTGTCCAATAGTAGGGAATCTACAAATATTCTGCGTTGTAAGTGCTCGACATGTAAAACCACAAACTGAATTCGAAAACATCCATTTTCTACTCTCGCTTGTGCTATGCAGATTTTTAAATTTATTTGTATAATTATTTTGAGCAATAATGAATTTTAATTTCTTAATGCAATCTTATTTATTTATATTTGGTACCAACCACAGTCTCATTATATACAAATATTCATAGATGTATGTGTCATATATCTGTATATTTATATTGAACCGCTGTTGATCATAGGCACCTATAATGTGCACATAATTACATTCCGTTATGCATCTGTCTCCCACTTTGGCTCCTGATGTTACATTTGCACAATTTCTGAATATTAAAAATCCTTTGTACTAAATTGCAAATTTGTTCTTCTTGTCTAGAGTTTATATTTACGTATTATTTTTATATGCGTATTTTTGTGCATTTTTTGTAAAATGTAAAAACTGGAGTCACGTGTATATTACTGAGATGACTATAGAGTTTTTCTTTGACTTTGACTTGACTTTGATCAGCTCGTCATTTTATGGGGTACAGGGTAATATTTTTTATTTTGTTTATTTTTATATAGCGCCTTGATTCTCCAAGGCAATTGACATGAATGCGTGCTAATCCATTATTATTTCGTGTATACTAAACGGCTCACGATGTAGAGGAAAAATATGCAAGGGTAATCGATGATTTTGATTTAAAAAAAGAAAGTAAGGTTAGTGGTAGATGCAGTACTGCACTGGCGCCAGTGGGGAGGCTGGATTGCGGAAGTAAATTATCGGAGGGGGGAAGAAGGAAGCGGACAACCGAGGGTTCATTGAATGCGTTTATAGGCCGTGGTTACAACAAAATAGTGTTTCGGCAAGAAATCAGGTAAATATTTCGCACAATGTCAAAGAACACCGTGTCCGATCGTTTCAGGAAGGTCGACGTGGACGAGTACGATGAGAACAAGTTTGTCGATGAAGAGGATGGCGGAGAGAATCAGTCAGGTCCAGATGAGGCAGAAGTCGACTCCCTGATAAGACAATATCCTTTAATACGTTAAAAAATAAAACCGTATAACTGATCTGCATATCGCAAGAATAGTAAATCCGCGGTACTCATATTGCCATTTTGACCATTTAAGGTCCTCAGTTTTTCAACAACAAACTTCCTTTGCAAGGAGTGTCCGGAACAGGCATGGGTGTGGTTGTAAGACTCAAGAATGAGATTTAAACAAAGAAATGCGAATAGTGTTAGGTGAACGCAATTAGCTACCTTTAACTTGTAAGTATAAACGCAAGACTCGTATCGCAACCCCCGTGAGTAGTAGGCAATTAAGCTTGATACAGTCATTTTGTATCATTCAAATGGAATTTATGAATTTGCCCACTATTTGCATGATTAATGTGCAATTGGAAGTTAATGTTGCGTGGCTCTTCCATATATCCGTTTTTTGCCGATTTACCTTGTGCCTTTATAGTCACCGCAGTGATGTGTTTTGTGCATGCGGGCTGGGGGCGATGAAAGGTATGCAAGAAGTGAGATTACAAGGCCACTGGGTAAGAAAGGCATTACTCCCCTTTTATAATAAAAGGAGACTTTCTACCAACAGTCCTGTTGGTTGGCGTGGATTCTGTGCCAGTTTAGTTCTGTTTAATTGTTTAAGAGTGCTGAATTGCACATTTGCGGCCGGGTCACACTTGGTACCGAGATTCAGGATATGTGAAAGCAAAATGGAATGTTTCTACTTATCAGGTGGAAACGTTTAACAGAGAACAGGCTTCAGTTCTTGCACATGAGATGTGGCGATATGCTTTTATTTGGCAATAGTGTGTTAGACCAAAGATGACTTGAGAGGAAAGTGAGATGTTCACCTAATCCATATTTCTGAAGTTGGAAGAAGGCCCCTCGCTGCTGGGATTTTGCAGCATGCAGAAGGCATGTTGCTTCTGCCTGGTATTTTCCGCTTAACCTCATTTTCACGGGGAATTTGATGGGTGCTCTCCAGGCTGTTCTGAAGAACCCACCGATTAACACAAAGAACCAGAATGTGAAGGTGAGAGTCTTTCTGTAGCCTTAAATGTTTCCTAGTGAGATCTTCCAGCCAAACATTTTACGCCCTGGCTTGTGTGTGCAGGACCGCGCAGAGGTGCTGGTTCTGAAAGTGCTCAGCTCCTTCAAGAGCAGCGATATCGAGAAGGCAGTCCAGGCGCTGGACAAGAACGGCGTTGATCTCCTAATGAAATATATCTACAAGGGCTTCGAAAGGCCGTCTGAGAACAGTAGTGCCATCTTGCTGCAGTGGCATGAAAAGGTGAAATTTCCAGATGCCTTTGTGCTGTTTAAGAGGACTGAATAGAAAACTATATTGTTGTTGTTGTAAATAATTATAACAGTATTAATTTTGTGCAGAAGTAATTTCTGGCTTGACCTGGCGGCTTTCTGGTCCTGACTTTGTGTCCTTAACTGCCATGCCACCTTCTGGACGTAATTAGCTAAAGGCGGCAGCAGATGGTCTAGTCATTAATGGTTCTTTTGGATCCCAACGCAGCATATTAATGACATCGTTTGTCTCCAGGCTCTGTCGGCGGGAGGCGTGGGCTCCATCGTGCGAGTCTTAACCGCTAGGAGGACGGTCTGACAGGACTGACGGGGTTTCCCATGCATTGCCAGACGGGCCCCCCACCACAGAACCTGGCCACCTATCACAGCTATTCTGTCCATTCCCGTTTCTTTGTTCTCCTTGCTCCCTGGTTCCAGAATCTTCTTGTTTTTGTTTTTTTTAGCCCCCTCTCTCTTTGTCCACCTGTACTTCCTTGAATCCTTCATATTGACGCTGTTCTGTGCAGGGGTTGTGGTACCTGGCTTCAGGAAGTTCATGCTGGTGGTTCTCCATTCATATTGACATAGATCTGCTTTGAAGAACCTAAGGTTCTTTGACAGAGTACCTTAAATTCTCTTAGTAGGAGTAGGAGATGTGGGCCGGAAGTATTACTCTGTAAATTACCCCCCTAGAGCCTCCAGTTATGTACCAGTTTAATCTCGACATCTCAAATTCCTTGGGCACTGGAAATTACAGTTCACTTAATGACCAGACCAGATTGAATCTTCTCCACAGCTGAATTATTTGGGATTTTTGCCTAGTGTTAACCAAATAGTGTTTTTGGGATGGAAATTTAACCCTTTTTTGTTTCCTGAAACATGATGCGGCGATGTCACGATAGCTGTCTTCTTTACATCCCCCGATCAGGTTATTGCTTTGGAATAATGTCACCATGTGGTCCATGGAAACGGAAGAATGGAGGGCTGGTGATTGATTAAGCCTGTTGTCTTAAATTTACTGCAACTTTTTTCCATCTGGTGAATCTGCACAGTTGTGTGAGCTGTAAACGTCCGAACCTTTACCTGCTGTTGATGTTGATCTCGGTCCTGAAACGGTGTCCCTGCAAAAGGTCCTCTGATCTGTGACTTGGAGTGATCTGTATTTTCACTTTGAGCTGCAGAACCAAGCTGTTCAGTATTACATGATGGCCTATCAAAGACACACTTGGGTTGAACAACTTCTCCTTGACCACCAGGCAGTGTTTTGGGACCAAAAATATAGTAAATATGGTAAAGTGGGTGTATGTATTTTTTTTAAAGAATAATATGGATATTTTGTACTTTATTTGTTGTAGTAGAAATTAATGGTGCAATAGACGAATTTTCTAATTTACCTGGAAACCAACTGATTGGACTGTAAATTTTCTATTGGTCTAACTTGAAATCTTTAACCTTTTTTCCTTTAATATTCTGCTTTAATCACCTCTATTCCACATCTTTCCTGTTTCCCCAGTCTGGGCCCTTTCTGCATTTATTTTCTCCTCCCTTCATCTGTGCTTTGATTTTGTACGATTGTCCTATAAGCTGTTCTGAAGAAAAAAATTAAAGCAATTTCTTTATTTGATCTTACGTCATACCTTAAAATATTTCTTTTTTCCTGCAAATAATAACCCAAAGTCAGACTCGCATGCCTCTGCTATGGAATAACTTTCACTGTGACCGTGAAACTTACAGGAAATAAACTGTAAATTCCAATTTCCTAGCTTTGGTGACTACAGTATATGATACTTTTGTGGCGAACTGCCTTCGTTCCATGAGCAAAGCCATTAAGAAACAAGAACCTTTATCTCAGGGTTCCCCTATTCCGGTCCTGGAGGGCCAGAATCCAACAAAGTTTGCAGGTTTCCCTGATCAAACACACCTACTAAACTTGGTAATTGGCTGATTAAGATGTGTTTAAGCAAGGAAATCCATGATGGATTCTGGCCCTCCAGGACCGGACTTGGGAAGCCCTGCTTTAGGCCATAGGGTCTGAGACAGCTAGATATAGTGCATGGTATTTTTTTTCTCTTTAATGGTCGTATGCGATCAAAGCCATTGTTGCCTGTAGGCCTGTAAAGTTGCGGTCTGCTCTCATGAAAGCCGTCTCTTGGCTGCTGGTGGTTCACGTGTGGTGAAACTCTGCTCTCGTTCTTTAGATCTGCAGTATCCCCGAATTAGCCCTGAAACCAATTGGTCTAGCTGTGTTAGCATTTCTATGTGCTGTTTAGTCGGGGACCACCTTCTTTATTTTTCAATTTTAAAAACATTGATTTTATATATATATATATATATATATATATATATATATATATATATATATATATATATATATATATATATATATATATAAAATTGTAACTTTTCACAGAAGTGTGAAAATGTATGCAGTGTTGGGAATTACTCTTAAGCTAGAGGAACAGCCCTAATTTGTGTACAAAATGCCTTATTAAGAATTATTGTATGTGATTTTGGGAAAAACATTAAAGTGTATGTACATGGTTGTTTAATTGTCTTGTTTTATATATTTTCATCCCCTGTGCCACATTGACTCCAGCTCAAAACTCAAGGTGCAACATTTTCATGTAAAACAGCCTGGATTTTTGATCTGATTTTGTAAATAATTCTTATATGATGACTTATGTAACCATATGTTACAATAGTGATCTGTTGTCATGCAATTGAAGTAGTTGATCCTATCCAAAATAGAAAGATTATGGTTTTGCAGTGTATTCTGGACAGAGTTACAGGGTTCCCTCGCAGAACACGTGGACGTACACATCATGCCACCTCGTAAATCATCCATTCAGTATTTTCGCTGAATAACATGTCCAAGCCATGGACTCAATTGTAAATAGCAGTGTCATGCTAATCCCCAAAGTGAAATATACAGTCGGCGCCACTAGATGGAGCTGTGTAACTACTTTTGTGAAGTTCAAAGCTTGTTTGTCAAGAAGGTATTATTAATGAAAAGACTGTACGGTGTGTAATCGTTTGCCATTACCTGGTATTTCGTATTTATCAGTTTAATTGTAAGCCTTGCATCAGCAAATTACAAACTATATTATATGATAGTAATGAAAGTTAGATTCGTGGACATTTGAATTGGTATTTAATTTTGAAAACAGATTTTTTTAGAATAACAGTCTTGAACCATTGATCGCTAATTCATAAGCGGAAAATACGTAAGTGATATATTATAAGAGAAAAAAATCAGGCCAAAATTTAAAATATAACCTTGATGGTTTTTGACGTTTAGCGCGGGATGCACACAGAATGAAAAGAGCGCGGCTGTCTTGTCGGTCTGACGGATTATTTACTAAGGCACTGGGTGAGCACTGAATCACAGATCGTTTTTCTTTTCGCAGATCTTTCTTTCTGGTCACATCTTTCCGAACCACAAGGGCAACGCGGAGCTGACACGTGACCCCCGGCTGCTGTAGGTGCCTGGATTTGATCACGAACTATGAAGGGGTTCACTGTCGATCTATTAATGACAAAAATGCGTCATGGTCGTCGTTGTTATATTATTATTATTATTATTATTATTATTCCGTCCATTTTTCTCCACTTATCTGGGGTCAGGTCGCAGGGGTAGCAGGTTAAGTAGGGATGCCCAGACCTTCCTCTCACCAGCCACCTCCTTCAGCTCCTGCGGGGCTCAGCTCCCTCTTCGCCATGACAGAACGGTACATTATCTACATTACTGCCAGCGCTGTACCAATCTGTCTGGCGATTTCCCGTTCCCTTCTTCCCTCGCTTGTGAGCAAGACCCTGAGGTACTTAAACTGCTCCACTTGGGGCAGCAACTCATCCCCCCACCCGGAGCAGGCAATCCACGCTTTTCCGGTCCAGATCCAAGACCTCAGACTTGCAGGTGCTGATTCTCATCCCCGCCGCCTCACATGCAGCTGCAAACTGCCCCAGTGCATGCTGCAGGTCACCGACCGACGATGCCAATGGGGCCACGTCATCCGGAAACAGCAAAGATCCTGAGGCTCCCGAACCAGACCCTCTCTGCCCTTTGGCTACGCCTAGAAATTCTGTCCATAAAAATTATGAACAGATTCGGCGACAAAGGGCAGCCCAAGGGAGTCCATGTCTCTGTCCGCAGGGCCCATGTCTCCGTCTGCAGGGCCCGGCTGGGCGAAGGCCAAAGGGGTAATATGGGTTTGCCCCCCACCTGGTCATGTTGATGTTTTTGCACTTACAAAGGGTGTGATTGGTCTTTTCGCTCTGGTAAATTCCCATACTGGGAAAGTCACGTGTTTTGAGTTACTGGGGGTCAGGGGTCACTGGCTTGGCATGTGGTTGCTGTGACATGGTCCACCAGGCCTGGTCACTGGGAATAAGCCTCATGAAATCAGCAACCCAAGCAGCATGACACTGGTGCTCCCTAATGGGGCCACACCATGCCCCCGAGACTCAGTCACTGAATGCTCCAGATCCCTGGATTAGACCCCATTTAATCTGCCCAAAACCATCCTTTGTGTCCGGATGATGCTCATCAGCCCATGTGGCTGTGTTTCCTTCCCAGCAGCCCCCTGTTATGCACCTTTCACATGCCACCGGCTTATTCACGGTTGCTTGTCAGCACACACAAGCATACCCATAATACCCAGGGGCTTTCCTTTAATGTGAAGCTTTCAGGACCTGCCCTCTAAAGCAACATCAGACCCTATGCAGGAAGCATCCCTGCAGCCTATGAGGAGAAAATATGAACAAATCTTTTCCTTTATGTCCCCCCCCTTTCCCCCTGTGACAGCATTTGTTTGTAAACAAAGCGAAAGGCATGGAAACAGACAACACGCAAAGTGATCCAAACCCCCCTCCCCACCCGGCCCCCCTGCACGGATCCGCCCAGCTGTGGTTTGAAACTGATCCCAGAACACAGTGTTTTGTCTTGACGCTCTCCTTTTCAGTTTTCTCACGGCGGAGGGAGCGATAACTCTGCTCGGTTATGTAAGGGGAATCAAAACACCCTGTACCGGGAAGCAATAAACCATAAAATAAGAAAGTGGTACATCTGCACGAGCTGAAAACCGTCACGTAAGGCAAGGCTATCCCTTATCGGACAGATTTCACCGGCTCTCCTCCTTGTTTACGTCCACTGGAATGTTAGTGGGAAAGGAGCTCGATCTTGTCACTCCGCCGGTGAGATCAGAGCCAAGGAGCAAAACAGAAGCGGAATCAGACTGTTTTTCGAAAGGACTGTGTTCTGCAGATGTCAGTCGCCGGAATAACGGCAGAGTCACGAGATCGTGATGCCCCTTGGCTGCTTGGTGGCTTTGCTGCCTTTGCCCAAGTACCTAGAGAAGACACACAACAACAAAAAACACCACCGACACAAAAAATTCCATGTTCCTAAGAGTACCTTGGAAATGAATTCACTCAATTGTTTGTTTGAAAATCCTCTGTTTAGACTTGATTTAATAGATTTTCCCTTGCAGGAATGCATATCAGAAATTAGTCTTCTACAGTGTGGGAGCTAGGAAAGAGAGAGGTGCTATTTCCGTATAGGATGTGGCCATCATAAAAGCTTGGAGGAAAGTTCTCCGGCACAAGGTGGGGAGAGTCGTCACGTAAGCGCAAGTGTCTGTGAAGAGCTCCACTTTTTCCTGTCACCCTTTGAAGGCCACCTCCGCATGGCCTTTGGCGGAGTGGAGATCTTCCCTTGCTATCCCAAACAGGAAGTGGTTGCTCTGTGAGAACGGCGGTGACCTCCGACACAATAACCCAACCGCACCCCCCCCGCATCCACCTGACCTGATGCAAGTGTACACATGCATGCACGTATCTATGCAAACTGCAGAACCTCACAAACAGAAGGCAGGCAGGAAGATGGCTAAGGAGAGAGATATATGTCATTTGCCATATTTACAAGATACATAGGAATTCCCAAGTTTTTACAAGGCCAACTTTGAGGCCCGGGAGAGACAATTTTTGGGGTTAGACGCAAGGTCAGGCAGTATGCAGAAACCATGAAGCAGTTGGGTGTATGACCCTTGCTCAAGAGCTCAACAGTGTTATGATTACTCTGCTGGGAATGGAATTTGAACAGACAGTTTTCCAGATACAAGGATAGATACTTAACCTACTGAGATACACACTGCCCCTTAACATGAGGGAAAAAACTGGTATTAATCTTCAGTTGGAAGGAATGGTTGTACAGTGATCCCCGCCTATCGCGGAAGATGCGTTCCAGACCCATCAGTGATAGGTGAAAATCTGTGATATAGAAAGACCATATAAATAAACTTTTTTTTATAGTTTAAGCCTTAAAATACCCCTCCCACACACTTTCAACACATGTAAACAACACATATATGTGGATGTCAGGCTAAGGATATGAGTAACTTAATAATAAAATAATATATAATGTGTGTGTGTGTGTGTATGCACTTAGGTTCACTACTATCAGAAGGCTTAGAAGATGCAGGACACTTGGGAGCCATCGTAGGGCTTAAAACAAAACGAAAACAATCAGATTACAAGCAAGGTACACGATACACAGAGAACTGTAACGCGTCGGGGAAAAATCCGCTATATAGCGGGGGATCACTGTATTGTTCTAGAATCAGAATGTAAGAACTTCTGATTTTCACTAATTCTGAACTGATACGACTTTCAATCTTTCAAATCTCTATAGTAAAACTATTCAGGGGACCAAGCTTTTGAGTTCAAACGGCACAATGCTGTTTGTGGGATCCTGGGGAAGCAAAAGTATAAGTGCAAGTGACACAACACATGTTTAGATTAGAATTTGATGTTTGATCCGATGGTGACAAATGGAAGAGCTTCTCAGCCGTTCGATCATGGTCTGAACCAGAAGAAGGATGTGTGTTCTTGGGCCGACGCTTCTCGCTCGTCCAGGGCCTGTCGTGTGATGCCTGTGCACGTTACAGGAAACAATCCAGCTGAGCGTCACGACAGACTTTGCTTTGTGCCAGACATCTACAGCTACAGAGGTGGGGAAATTTGTTGGGGAATTTTGTGTTGTGATAAATACCTTCAGATGCTGTGAAGGTCAAGAGACAGAAGGTCACTACAGCAGCTACAAAGCAAATTAATCAATTTCCCTAATACTGTAGAATCACTTCCACAACTGCGTAATGTTATAATTATTACTTATTAAAGTACTAAAATATTTTTCAGCCCGTCCTGGGTGTCCCCCTGCCTTGTGTCCTGTACTTTGTAGAATGGAATCCAAACTCACCATTACCCTGTACTGGTTAAGCGGTCATAGAACATGGATGGATGGATTGCATAATCATCCGCATGTATGTTACCTTATTTAATGTGGCATGTGAATATTAATGTGACAGATTTCAGATTGTTGGACATATAGGTATTTGTAGCTCACCAGGTACAGCATTGTGCTGCCAACATAAAGGCTGTGAATTCAAATCCCAAGCTGCACACATTAAAAAATGAAAATTCCCCTCACCCCATTGCAAGTTGCTTTGCATCAAAACTATTTTTTGAAAGGAAATTCTAAATA